GTACTAGTACTAGTACTACTGGTAGTGGTAGTAGTAGTACTGGTAGTAGTAGCAGCAGTACTGGTACTAGTGGTTGCACTGCACCACTACTAGCAGCAGCAGTAGTAGTAATACTACCTACCTACTAGTACTACCTACTACTACTGTTGCTACCATTTGATTGCCTTAATATCTGATTATTATTTGAGAGGGATTCAAGATTACTTGCCTGTCCACAATACCTGTGAAGTCAGCACTGCGACTGGTAGTACTAGTAGAGTTCTTAACTTACTATGATTTCAAGAAATGTGTGCTGCTCCTGACACAATGTTGCTTCTTCATCCTTCTTTGATACTCAGGAGAGGAGGAAAAATCAATAAACCCACCATTATCTGAGTTATTAAAAAGAGCATAGGTCAATCCTAACACAAAAATGCAGAAAAATGTCTTGAAAAGATTATTTTCTTAGTGTTTTGTTTGGTACCCATACAATGTTTGCTGTTTGGTTTTGCTTCAACTCACTGCAGATGGCTTTGCTACAAACAGTCAAACCTCCTGCGCTTTTGAGTGACTTAATTAGAGCTTTTCTTACTAGGCACGCATTGCAATAATTATCTTGTCTAATTTACACAGACAGCAGAATTAATGACGCCGCAACACTTTTCTTCAAGGTTTAGCAAAAAATAGTCACAAATCTACTTGAACTCCCAAAAGTCGCGAGTATTCACAATCACAAAACCGAGAATGAGTTAAGGATAGAGGGGATGGTGAACGTCGTTTATGTTCATAGTGAATCCGACGTTCTTCCCACCCCTTCGCCTCTTCTTTTTCCTTTGCTGCTGCGTTTGGTGTTGATTTTGCGCCTGTTGCTGGTTCTGCTGATTATCGTGCTGCTCGTCAGATATATTTTGTTGAGGGAACATCTCCTCCCCGGTCATCAGCATATATAAGGCTGCCTCCAATTCCTGCACTTTTTGTTGCTCTTCTTCTAATCGACGTTCCAACATTCGTCGAGAAGTCTCAAAGTATGCCCTTTCCATATGGAGCTCGTCCCGGAATGAATAAAGTCTGCGTTGTTCTTGTCGTAATTCACCTTCATACATATTGCGTTCAGCATTTTGCTGGTGCTGTTGGTTGCGAATCCACGACGTCAACTTTTCATTTTCGATAATTGCGTCTTGCAAAAGTGTCTCGAGTTGTTTCATTTCATTGAACGTCTCTTCCGTTCCATTATTTCTCTCACGAAACTTGGCAGTTTTTGCACGTTTTCGTTTTCTGCGGTTGTTCATCGAATTGATCTCGACGTGCGCATGTGCACCACGAATCACTATCTGTTTCGAAGCACTAGCAACACGATTTCGTCCTGGGTTTGCGACACGGGGTTTCCCACCGTTTGTGCCGATTTCTTGGCTCTCGTGCATCAAATCTTTGAGTTGCTGTCGTTGAGTTTCTAGGAGCCATTCCAATTCAGACCGTTCTCCTTCGTAACGAGCACGTTCTTGTTCCAAAGCTTCTTCGGCTTCTTGCACCGAAATAAAATCATACGAATGCCCGCCATCCCCTCCAGCATTATTTTTTGCTGTAGTCGGATCGATTGCAACTCGCAATTCGATTCCTAAGTTTCTCTGATACCTGGTATGATATGATTTTTTTTTCAATCTAGTCGAACAGGGAAAATTCGAAGTTGAAAAGCATTCTGAATAGGAAACCAAAGAGGACAAAAGGGCAAACGCAAAGAAACAAAAGGGAAAGCGAATCATCCTTCTTCTTTCGGAAGGAGATTGAGAACTATGAAATGATGAATAGTAGGTTGATGACTCGTAGTGTTGGGAAGAGTAAATGCACCCACTACCGTCGTGAATTGAAAAGGGTGATTGAATTCTCTTCACCCTTCTTACCAGAAACGCATATTAGTATCTGGTTGTTAGGGATGACATCAATAGATAGGAATCGGTTGTGTTTCCCGCCAAATGAAACAAAATACAAAGAATCAATTCATCTCCTCAACATATCTCGCTGAAAGACTTCATCGTTTGATGGTTTGCAAACGCTGAATGACGTATGTTTTGCGGTCGCGCGCCACTATCTGGTTTTCCTCCTTTAAGTAAAATGATGGCTGCTGTACAGATGCCGATTTTTTACTCCAATTGGTCGGTCCGAACTCGATCAAAATGGTGCGCACTTATTCTTTCGTTCCATGTTCTTTCTCTAGATCATGTAAGGGCCATGTACCGTTAACAGGTACGTAGTATGGGTACGTACTAGCCTGTACTACTACTAGCCTATTGCCACAGGTGTTTCATCTCAATTTTGGTGATACTACACGTAAAATAAAAATTGAAATTACATTAATTGAGACATTGGGAACTTTAATTTAACATTCCGAATGTTTTTTAAACATGAGGAATACGTGGATCCTAGTACTAGTAGTACAATTCCAAGAAGAATGATACTAGTAGTAATCAATGTGCTGTTGTTGCTGCTGGTGGTATCACGTGACCTTCCCAAAACATTTTTTGGGTCTTGCACATACTACCTCAAAAATAAGGAAGAAGGACATCCTTTCCTGCTAACATTTAGACTATTCAGCAGAGCATTCAGGACATTAAATTAAAGCAAAAACTGCAGTACCCATTTCTACACAGCCTGCGCTGCTAACATTCGTAATGTGAAATTGACTATCCCAATGCCTCAATCAACATAATTTCAATTGTTATTTTACACTTACTAGTATTTCAGCATTTGGGATAATAGTTGATTCCTGCAAACATTGATATAGCTCTTTTTTTTGGGTTGGCTAATTTAATATCTCAAATACACAGATTCTGGTTGTACTAGTACTAGTAGCTCCCTCACAAAAACCAAAATATAGTATATGTTTCCTGAGATACTAGTAGTATATACTAGTACTACTAGTAGTATCCATTAGAATTTTTGACTAAACATTTCCAGTCTCATTTCATGAGAATTCGGCACGAATTCTCTTGTATGTGGCACTGAGGAATCTTATGATGAAATGCACCCTAAAGTAAATTGACAAACTCCTAAAAAGAGGGGAGAAAATATGTACATTCAGATTGCCAGTCATGTCTTTGTTCTACTAGTACTAGTAGTACCACTCAAAATTTTTCCACTAGGTTGCACTAACATTTACCAGTTTATGTATGCTGGAGTGAACCAATGATACTAATAGTATTTCAGTAAGAATCAAGCAATCTGATTGGCTAATGATAAGTAGGATTGGAATTATGAAATTTCATTGACATGCTGTGAAGAAAGAGTATTTTCTTGTTTTCATGCTCCCAGGAGGGGCAACACCTCCCTCCCAGGAGGAGTGATTATGGAGGCACCCCCCTAGACAGACAATCACTGTTGTTACTAGTAGTAGTAGTAGTAGTAGTAGTAGTAGTAGTAGTAGTAGTAGTAGTAGTAGTAGTAGTAGTAGTAGTAGTAGTAGTAGTAGTAGTAGTAGCACTCACTGCTATTACTACATCACATTGTTACTAAGAATTCTCACCATGGTGAGGAATGCAAGAAGATATTCTAGAGATTAGTCATTTTACAAGGATTCGTCTGACTGTTTTGATTTATTGATGCAATTGAGTTGAATCATTCCTCCTCTTCTTCTTGTCTTGTTTGTCATTGCTCCTTTCTAGTGTTTGTAAAAAGGACTGTGACAATTCTGGTGTGGGTGAACAGTAAAGGTACTCTCTGGTAGTAGTAGTAGTATGAACTCCTTTTGTTGCACATAGTGAAAAAGCAGAAGCTGGAGGAGGAAATGCAGAGTGCAATAGAATTGCTACTGAAGGGGGAACTGCTGATATTACTAGTAGTACCAATGTCTATTTGTGGTATTCCTGCTACTGAGAAAACATCATGAACAAGGAAAATACTGGTAACACAGTATTGATGGAGCTTGGCAGTCAAAAGACCTTAAATGCAAGTGATCGAGCTGTGTTGGCTGACCAGGAGAGCATGGGATCTGTGTGAGATCCTTTTTTTATTATGCAGACTAGAATGGTGACAAGAACAACAAGGAGGACAAAGAGGAAAATATTGAAGAACCATTGTTAGTAGAACAGATTTTTGTAGTACTAGTAGTAGTGCTAGTAGCAGCTCTATCTTTATTTGTTGTTCTAGGTTTGGAGAATCCCCCTTATTCATTAATTGAACCCCTGGGAAATACTCAACCACAGCTCTGCCATAGTATGGTGGTGTTCTTTTCAACCTAGGTTCCCATTCATCCTCAACCAAGAAGAAATACTAGTAGGTGCATTGTTTATTGGCTCCTTGTTAGGTACTACAAGCAGATAACAAGTATGAGTTTAGCAATGGTTCTGTCTGTAAGGCATAGGGACCCTGCCAAGTTTTGCATCACAAAAATAGGCACAACCTGCACCATTTCCCAACGTCCTACAACAAGCTTTCTCTAATTAGTAGTAGGTCTACATTGAATGATTATGATCAGGCATGATTTGGTTGCAAATTAATTTTCTGAAAGCATCATCTTTGGTCCTATTCATGTTTCAGACTGATCATGTGCTGAATTTTTCCTTTGCAGTATTGGATCTACACAGTTCTATATGTTGAGTTTTCCAAATCAATAGAAACACCAGTGTTTGTGAGACCACTAGAACTCCTCTGGTGGAATGGCCTCCAGTGTCATTTCCTTTGGAGATAGTTGCCCAGGTATGGCCCTAAGGGTCCTGATTCAGTTGATTGGCCAATATTGCAGAATACATCAAAGCACAGAGGTAATGTATCGTGAGATGCGCCCTTGTTACAATATTTTATAGAAAAAAAAACTTTGATTATTTTGTGCAAAGTGATGGACTCTCTGCACAAAAAGTGGGATCTAGATTGTAGTAGCATTTTATGAACAGCTGTTATTATTGTATTAGCGGTAATACGAATCTCTGATGTGGTTGATACCAACAGTATCACCAATACTGGATGCCCCCATGGTTGTTGTAGTTGCCGTCACTCGTTCTCTATGACTCGAAATGGCATCTGACCCTGGACCGGAATGTTGTTGTGTGGTCTGAACATCGTGTTCCATATGAAAGGATTGGGGCTGGTGTGACTGAAAGGATTCTTCATGTTCCATTTCGATGTAATTCTCTTGATGATACCCCTGTGGCCTGACTCGCGGTTCGAATTGTTCCTCATGATGGTGTTGATAGTGATGGAAACCAGGGTGGTGGTGATGGTGGTGGTTGTGACCTTGCTGTTGTTCATAAGCGCCACTTGGCTCTCCCAGAGTTTCGAAATGAGGAGTATCTTCGGAATAGGGTTGATGGTGATGAGGAGTCCCATGGAATCCCTGTTGATTTGTTTGCATCAATCGGTCCTCTAGTGCCTTTACATTATTTGTTTCGCGCTCTAATCCAACTTCTAGTAATTGGGTTGCAGTTTCGAAATATGATCGTTCTAAACACAAGAAGTGATGAGCCTCGGCTGCTTCCTCTCGTGCCTCTTCCACTTTCTGTTGGAGCCGCCCTCTCTCAAATTCGAAACGCACACGTTCTTCTTCCAACTCTGCTTGTAGGCGTCGATTCTCACTCGTGAGGAACACAAGACGATCTGTAGTGCGCTTCATCTTTTCATCGTGGTTCTCATCCCAGCTAACTTCGGTGTCTTCCGAGAGATGGTCGTATTGCATTCTCTCTGCCAAATGCGCCTTTTGATTTCGTTCCTTAAGACGTTGTAGCTCTTGTTGTTGTTCGTCGATGACTTTTTGTAGATCTTCGCATTCCTCCTCGTGGCTTTTTTCTGCCTTGTTCATTGCGTCTGCCATTTCATTTTGAGGAATATATACATATTGCGATTTTGATTCTACTTCCACGTCGACAACTTTCATATCATTCGGCCGAGAGCGATAATATTGTTCGTCTTGGAAACTCGTTTCTGCAGCATATCGAAGTGTTGTAGCGATTGCGCCAAAAGAAGAACCAGAAGCCGAAGTAGACAGAGATGGATTCACGAAGCCCACCACAACGACCGTAGAAAGCATAGAGACGCCAGTCAGAAAGACAACGAACACAAAAGGTCTGGAAGTCATTGTAGAGTGGCGTTTGCCTTAACGAGTATCGAAAGATTTATATCGAATACTTGTGATAATTGGTGAGTGTGATGTTTATATGTCGTTTGCAATGTTTATGATATTTGTCTGTTGTACCGGTAGAAAAATATGTCCGGTGTGGTTTGAAGAAGAAAAGGAGTATTTTTCGTCATGCCTTGAGAGGATCTATTGGCCATGTGTTCTTTCTCGCGAGATGCGACAATGCGGGAGAAGTCGCGGAAAAATCACATCAATCAATCAAATCAAATCAAATCAGAAGGAAAAAAAAACGATCTCTCGCTAAAATCCATCAACGGCTTACGTACGTAAGAAAACTTTTACATTAGTTCTGTACTAGTATGTTGAATGCTGTATTACCGTTCTTGTATGGTATGTAGTACGATACGAGAAGTGCGTACATTACTTGTACCGGTACGTACGAAGCACGGTACATCTAATCAATGATGGAATCCATCTCTTCGAAACTCCAATCCACGGGGAAGCTGTTCCGTAAGTACCTTTACGAAGGGATGATTTGCGGTCGTTACGTAACTACCTACCTACCAGATGGTACCTGTACTGCATTGGAAGAAGTTTCTGGCGAAATCAAGCAGGGCAAGAATGATCATGGCTAACACGATCTTTCAACCATTTACAATACGAGTACGAGCACTAGTATTGAGACAACGAGTAACTCGTACGGTACCATACGTAATACCAAAGTACCACTTTCATTTTTGTCCGTTGCGCCTATTTAAATACCTCATTTTTTCATTTACTATGGGTCTCGACAGGTGCTCGACCGAGCAAAAATTGGATTACGTAAGTAATACCAGGGGTCATAATTTAGAGGGGTGCGCATCGCGTCGAAACTCATATTCCATGTTAGGCACCAATAAGAAAAATTTCCCCCCAGGGATTTTTTTGGATTTCAATTTTTATTGCATATCACTGCAAAAAGTGAACCTGAAAGACCCCATGCACAGGAAMACTTCCAATCACTCTCTGATTTTCAAACTTCACATGCACATCTCTCATATARTTGAGTGTCAAGTAGTAAGTATATTTTCACTGTTATTGCTCTCTCCAGTTCAAACTTTAAGGTGCTGATACAGGGCTGGTGGTAGTAACAGCCTAGTACYGTATTTGCAGTAGAAATAGTCTGTCCTTTGTCCAGTCAGTCCCACCAGTCTAGTCCTTAGCAAAAATTCGAACTGTCTGTCCTTCATCCGTTTCTCCCACTGATTTCCCAGTAGTAATTTCTACTAATAATCTAGTCAATATTCAACAGTGAAAAGGTACACTATCATTCCATTTGATACATAAAATATTGGCATATTCAGAATCCTCATGAAAAATTGGACTAGAGAGTGTACTCAAAAATTCTAATGTTAGTATTTTTGATAATGTTGTAACTGCTTAAAGGTTGGATAGYTTTACTAGTATTATGCAGTAAAAATGAATTTAAAAAAAATCCCTGGGGGGAAATTTTTCTTATTGGTGCCTAACATGGAATATGAGTTTTTCAAAAAATGCTGGAAAACACTGCACGTCTTTGCAGGCGTTGCGCACCCCTCTAAATTATGACCCCTGAGTAATACCCCATGTACCTTACGTAGTACTGTACGTACCAGATCAATCATCATACGAGCACGAGTACAGTATAGTACGTACGTACGGTATGGGACGAGACCCGGTTTCCGAAACAACCAAATCGGATCTTTCGTTTATTCTTCACTACTTCAGCAAAATCATCAAGATGATGACATACTTTGCAATCATGTAATCTTTTGATCGAAGATCGGTGCAACCCAGAAGCTCATAGATGCTTCTGGGGAGATAAAACAGCATTATCATATTGTTACTTTATTGATCGATCAAGCAAAAGCATGGTGCTAAAAGCAAACTGCGTTCCCAAGAGACCACTTCATTGAATGCTACAAAGAAAATGTCGGTAATCGGGTTTCCGATGGATCTTCTTTGGACGAAAGGCTATCGGGGACCAAAATCCAGATATGAAGTCAAATGCTTCCTTATATCAAAAGTTATTTGCATCTGACAGCGCCTACAGTGGGAAAAACGAGAAAGATAGCAAACTTTGGTATTCCTCCTCTCCAAAATGCAACATGCCTTTCCATTGCTAACTGCCACTCCAATAGAATCGCCTCTTTCTGCTATCGCAATACATAACCAAGGATCTAGTATGGAAATTTTGAGCGAAATAGAAAATTTAATAAAATAAAAGACAGCAGCCGACACATCAAATGCATTGTAGATGGGTGTGGCTCATCTACGGTAGTTCAAGGACAAGCATAATCCAAGGGTCGCCTCGATGATAGTTGCCTGCACAACGAAACGGACTTAGATAAATCTTATAATCACGGAGTCGTTGGCAACTTTGTCGGCAACAATAGAAAAACACTTTCCATGAGGTCGTCGTCAAAGAAAGCTGAAGAAGTTCAAGACGTGGTCAAGAATGTGAAGGAGAATTTCTTTGCGATTGGACGGACAGCTATCCGAAAGGATGAAGACGGTTGCAGGAAGCTGCCCGTAGTGGGATCTAGTGGTTTGGAGGGATATTGGAAATTGCCTTTGAGCGAGCATGGCGCAATGACCTTTAGAGCATTGATCAGAATGACGTTGTGTAAAGCGTAGAGAATACATATAGCACAACTTCTCCCTTCGTATAAAATGAATTCTGACAATCTTTTGAATCCGTAGAATATTGTCGTCTTTTCCTAACTGTACGACTTCGTTTTTTTTAGAATTCGGAAATCAAAGGTGCGGCCTAAGAGCAAGCAAATGAAAAATTTCAAACTAACTTCGAATTGCGACACCTACTTAAATCCCAAGTCAGGGAACCCGTCCTTTTCAGCTGTCGGACACAGATTTGAAATAAATTTGAGTTACTTGACGCAAGTCCAGTAAACCCAAACCATTCGTCACAGTTGCGATACCTTTTTAAAATGCTTGAAAACCAAGCGTTGCAGATACTAATGCATAGTTTCAACTATTCGATATTTTTGTTCAACTTAAAGGGGACAAGATGTACTATAGACAGACAATAATTTAGGAGGGAAAGTTGTTTTCTCCATAAGAGTGGTCCTTACAAGGTTTCGAAAAGAACTCAACACGCCTCACAATATTAGGTTTTCAGCTTTTTTAGAAGCACTTGCGGTGGACAATCGATGGGCCAGCTTCGTCGTATTCTTCTTTGCTGATCCACATACTTTGGAAGGTGGACAGAGATGAAAGGATGGATCCTCCAATCCACACAGAGTATTTGCGTTCTGGAGGGGCAACAATCTTCACCTTAATAGATGCAGGGGCCAACGCAGTAACTTCCTTAGACATACGCTCGCTGATTCCAGGGAACATGGTGGTACCTCCGGAAAGAACAATATTGGCATACAAGTCTTTTCGGATATCAACGTCACACTTCATAATAGTCTGGAAAGTACTGTCAGCAATACCGTCCATCTCAAGACCAGTCAAGTTAGGCTGGAACAAGACTTCAGGGCATCGGAATCGCTCGTTTCCAATAACAATGATGTTACCATCAGGCAACTCAAAGGATTTCTCCAAAGCAGAAGACTCAGCGGCCTTCTTCATCTCCTCTTCAAAGTCGACAGCAATGAAACAAAGGGATTCCTTGATATCACGGACGATTTCACGCTCGGCAGTGGTTGTCAACGAGTAACCACGCTCGGTCAAAATCTTCACCAAGTAATCAGTCAAGTCACGTCCGGCAAGATCCATACGGACAACTGCGTGGGGAAGAGCATATCCCTCGTAGATAGGGACAGTGTGCGACACACCATCTCCGGAATCCAAAACACAACCGGTAGTACGTCCAGAGGCATACAAAGAAAGGACAGCTTGGATGTTGACATACATAGCAGGAACGTTGAAAGTTTCAAACATGATCTGGGTCATTCTCTCTCTGTTGGCCTTAGGATTCATGGGGGCCTCAGTGAGAAGGACAGGATGGGCTTCAGGGGCGACACGAAGTTCATTGTAGAAGGTGTGGTGCCAGATCTTTTCCATGTCATCCCAGTTGGTAACAATTCCGTGCTCAATAGGGTACTTCAACGTGAGGACACCTCTCTTTGCCTGGGCTTCATCTCCGACATAAGCATCACGCTGTTCCATTCCCACCATGATACCGGGTTGGCGAGCACGACCGATCAAAGAAGGGAAGACAGATCGAGGAGCATCATCTCCAGCGAAACCGGCTGCAACAATATATTTTATATTTTTCGGAAAAGGTCAGTCGGTGTTAGAAAAAAATGGCAACAACGAAATAAAAATTGATGCATCGATGAGTTGACAAAACACCCAAAGTAAGTGTAAATCGACGGCCGGTTGACTATGCACAGAGACGGCCGATGAAGTTTTTGGTCTTTTTTTGTTTGTTGAAATACATGCTCGAATTCGTTGAAAATCGTGAATGTAATTTCGAACTGGATCTCATCCACCTGCTCGTCGCCGACGAGGTTGTGACGCTTTGGTTCTCGAATTGTTGAACCCATATTAATGCCTCTCCTCACCTTTGCACATTCCGGAACCGTTGTCAACGACAAGGGCGGGGACGTCTTCGTCATCATCGGCCATCTTCAAATAGTTATGCTGTTATTAGTAATAAAAGGGTATTGATTGACTAAACGTCGAAAGGTGTAAAGTGTCCTTAGTTTTGTTGTGAGGTTGTTGGATTATGACAACAGAGTACTGCGTACGTACTGGCCTTTGAGTGGCAGTCATCTTCAAAAAGCATGGACAATTTTTTGGTAAAAAACCACGGTTTCAAAATCCAAAAAAAAAAACCTAGACGATGACCAATGAAGGCTGGTTTGATTCGTATTTTTGTCCACAGTTGTTCGTCAGAGCAGGGATAGGGGGTCATCGGTCATCAATGCTACAGGGGTCGATTTTTTATTTTGTCTACGAAACATACTGTAATAACGTACAGTATGGAAATTCGCGCACGGAAAGCGCTTGAAATGGTTTTGAATAAAGATAGGGGTCATTGGGTCATTCCCGAATACGAACACGTCTTGCCAAAAAATGTTTCCACTGTACCGGTATCTTTCTTCATGTGGCTCTGTTCATCAATGCGATGCCGAGATGCATGAGCTTGAAATCTTTTCCTGCCAATATGGATGATTTGTACACTTTCCACCATTTCCTCCATACACTCATTACATTCAAGGCTCCTGATCACATTCATGCAACAGCAGGAATATACCACTCTGGTGTCAAGGAACCACCAGAAGAAAATACAAAGAAGATACCATGATCTCCTGCTGTTTGTTGTGCGAAGAAGTGATGTTGAATACTTGTTCTTAGTACTAGTAGTATCCTTGTCTGAGATGTCCCTCTCAGACTACACCACTGTTAGATAGCTTTGGAAATGGAAAATCTTCTGGAGCATGAACAACTAATCTTCTTCTTTGTCTGAACAACAGTTCCAACTTTCTTCAATGCTGTAACAATAGTGCAAACGAACAGTGCTGCTGACAGCCATTATCTTGTCCAAGGTTGGGTTGCTGAATTATCAACTGCTGAATAATGTCCCAGATGAATTCACTATTAACACCAGCAGTGTAGATCTCAAAGGCATGTAACTACCCAATGTCTGCATTACACAGACAGTATAGTACATTGATACAATGCTTGATTGGCTTCTTAGTACTAGGAAGATACTGGAAAAACAAACTGGATTGCTTGTCTTCCTTTGTAACAAGAAATAGCTAATCATAGACTCATCAACAGACAGATCATTATTTGCACACCACCCAAGACAAAGATGACAAGAAATTTTCACCAGCATCACAGCCCTGATTTTCTTGCAGAGGGGTTGTGAGTGTGATTGGCTTGGTTTCTGCTGTAAATGAACATATTGGCTAGCAGAGGCAAATCCATTTTTGCTCATTGTGTTCCTGACAAAGGGAGCAAAGATTCTGCCATTCTCAAGACCTGCCAAAAGTATTTGAGATGATTGCTTTCTTGAACTAAAACCTCTGAAGTAGTAGATGCATACAAAGCCAGGCCAAGATATAACCATAAGTGAAGTTCCCTTGGTCTTTCACTGACCCTACTACTAGAGCATGCTTCCTTTTGTTGAGACAGGTGACATGGGATGAATAGCTTGAGCATCTTTCTCTTCTTTGTTACCTGCCTGTCAGCATCTGTAGTAGCTTCAGCTTCTATTATCCAATCTTCAAATGTGCACCAGTTCTTCTTGGACCATTTGCTATCACCTGAAGGATTCTTTTGTCAAACAACAAATTTGTCTACCCTTCCACCTTGTCAGTGCAACTGTCCAATAATTTCTTTGTCACACAGGAGGAAAGACCTGGGGTTGAACCTCCTCCACGTGAAGTATACTGGGCAGAGGAAGGCAGGAAGAGACCATTCCTTTGCATCATCACCCAACTTCCAAGCTTTGTTGGCATAGTTGTAAATTTCTCCTCCTGTTTCAATCAGCAGTTCTGATCCTTCACTGACCAGCAGATACTCTCTATTATCAAAATGTATTGCTTCGTGTCCTTGTACCTTGAGATTTTAGCACAGAACTGTGCAAGAAAGAGGAGGGACATCTTGTGTCACCTCTAATTACAGCCTTTGAGAGACCTTCTTGTGCATGCTGAAGACCATGACGGACATCCTTTCTATTGTACCAAATCAATGGGAACAAGTTGTTCAACACCATGCAGAAAACTGCCAAGCCAGAAGAGACAAGATTCCATTACCAGGAATACTCATCCCTTGTCCACAGGAAACAAATTCCTACTGGGGATCCAAACACTACTCCTGAAATCAAGCTTGCAAAGGAGATTGAGTATTTCTTGATTGGTATCAAGGCCAGCATTGGAGACAGAGAGGAGGTATTTGATTTGGAAGAAGGACATGATAGTGAGGATAACGCCACTTTTGAAAACAATGATAGTCCTCCTCTTCATCAGCCTTCCTAAGAACAGCCTTCCCAAGAACAAACCCCAACTCTTACTCAGCTTACTCAAACGCCAACACTAACTCAACTATTAAACACCAACACTAACTCTACTTGCTCAAACTCCAATGCTGCATAAACCAAGCATCAACTGCTTTGATGACTCAAGGAGTAGTGTCTAAACAATCCTCAATCACCAGAGGAGCATTGACCCAAGTGTCCTCCTGTTCCCCAAAGCACTCCTTGTCACCATCAACAATGCCCTCCTCGAGCCAAAAGATCTTGCTCAAGAGCGTCATCTTCAAGCAACAGTAGCAGCAAAAACACGGGTTTCTTATCTATGTTTCACATTTCCATGAAGAATGAGCAAGGCATTGCTCAGCAGCAGTTGTTGTAACAGCAACAGGCTATAGTTGCAGTTGCCAAGGATGAGTCAAAGCAGTGCAACCAAACCATGGAAGAAATCAAGGATATTCTTCTTTCACTTGCAACAAGTGCTTTTGCAAGGGGTGACAGGAACACCAGCAGTGGCAGGAACAACACATCTGACTCTGAAGATTCAGAGGAAGAATCCCATGGTCACTTGATTATTTTGTTATAGTTGCTAACTACAATTACTAAACTAGTTTGTTTGCAGTTTACAGCAAGTACCAATTTACAATTACTGCTGAGTACTTATTCTAAATTGTGTCCACAAAATACGTTGTATTGTTATCTGGAAGAATCAATCTGTGACTAGTATCCCAAAATATACATTGATGGATGTTCATGCAAATGATCATGGTGGGATTACTTCTATGTGCAATGTATTCCCTTTCTGTTAGCAGTCCTGGTTTTTTGTGGGAAGGTATGCAAGAAAACCAGCAAGACAAAATAACACAGCACTATATTGAAAATCACATAGAATAAGACGATCATAAACTGCATGAGTTCCTCATTTTGGATCCTCTCTTGTAGTAGGATCCTCCACAATACTAACTGTAGTCCAATCAAAAATTGATACTACCAGTAGTAGCTATTCTTCCTCAATTAAACATCAATCAACTGAAACGACAATCAGCTCCACCATGATGGAATCAACAATTCACTATTGGCTATTGTCATCAGCAGAATTAGTATCTGCTATAGTCATCAGCAGAATAAGTATCTGTTGCTATTGTTGGCAGCAAAATTAGTATCTGCTATCGTTGTTGGCTGGTTTAGTTGTTGGCATTAGAACAAGCTGGGGAGTGAACTATTTGTGTCCTCATTAGGCTCAAGTCAATAAGAAAAGTATCCTATCTGTCCATTTGTGTAGGATTCTCTCAGCTCTTGAAAGGATTTGAATCTGCTGGTATCACTCATGAAGGTGTTCAGGATCTGATTAATGCCCACAGTGCTGCATTGATAATTATACAACACAAAATATCCACATATCGACTGTTGACTACATATGGGACCAATTACACCAAGACCAAGCTGGTTTGTTTGCTGTATTTTTCTTTTTGGCTTCCTTTTTTCTTAAAGMTTTTTCATTATTTTTTATGACTACTTCATCACCTGGTGTGTCCATGTACACTACTAGGGGTGAACTTGCCTTAGTAATTGGCTTGGCAGTGTGCTTGTTGGCACTTGTTTTCTTGGTCACTGCATCAGGAATTGCCTTTTGGCTTGGCAGTACACTTGGAAATGATCATGGCATGGCTCTCGTCTATCCAAATGTGAACCACCACCTTCTATATATCCTGAGTCCAGTAACCAACCTCAATTGGCTTGTCAGTACTATGCATAGAACCTGGTTGTGTCTCCATGAAACTTCCTTGTTGGAGGGAGGTGTTGCCCCATGGAGCAGCTAGGAGAATTCTTCTTCCTAGTCAGGAGAAGCAATGGCTCTGGCCTTCATAGTGCCTCTTCTAGTTCATGAGGTTCAACATAATTTTTTTTACTAGTATAATCTACTCCTAGTGGTAGTGAAAAAGAATCACATCACCAAATGCCATTCTTTTCATATCTTCTTGCAGTATATGTTGGTATGAGGATATTTTGTCCCCTTCCTGTGGATGGGACTCCCAATGGAGTGAGAACAACTACAAACGTAGAGATTATTACACTGGTGGCCAAGAGGAACAAAGATGTGATGAGGAATTCCTCATAGATCAAAATATGTGGAACTACTGGCACTTAGATACTGCAGAATGACATGCAATCAATCAAACTGAGAATAAATTTAATGTATTCTTGAAGCTCTGAACACAAATCCCAGCAATCAGAAATCTAGAGGTGGGTTTCTCTTCTCCATCACTGTTGGCATAGATTTTTGTGCCCATTCATGAAGTGGGGGAAACAAGAAGAAGAACAATGATTAAGAACTACTGCTGAAGAGGCTCCCTTTACTATTTCCCAAACTTGCTTGAAAGGTTCTAGAAAGAATTGTCTTCGGCGCTGAACACCTGATCAAACAGGTGTAAGATACGAGGGCAGACAGGGTGGCATGAAACAGAGAATTACATTGGTTGTGGTACACCGTCAACGGTGACTTCATGTCAACAACCTAAAACCTTTCATTCTATTACTGAAGTGATCAAGTTTGCAAATCAAAACAAACCCGCAGAAACGTTCTGCACAAATATTTTGCCTAAGCATGTGGCTGAACTATAAATTGTTTATGGTGTACAAAATTTTTTATTAGTTTTCAATTTGTTGAAGTATATATCACACGTTCACAATCCCAGTAGTGAAAGTGGGTGTTGTTAAACAGGAAATGCATTTCATCTGTTTCGTTTAGAAAGGAAGATCCTCAAGGACTGGCTTTCCGTTGACGAGTTCCTGCACGCACATACCGGCAGCGGCGAGCATGGCAAGGCGTCCATTGGACAATTCTTTTGCTTGCATGTTGGCGAAGTCTTCTGCCTTGGTAGGTTTCAATCCAAGTGGGTCGAAGCCAAGGTCACCGGGGTAGTACTGTTCTCGAAGAGAAAAGAGCTCTCCCATTCCGGGTTCAACCCATCCCTTGTTGGCTCGGAGGGCCTCGGAGATGTTAATGAGAAGGAAAAAAGGGAACATGACTCCGAAAAGCGGAACTTCTGGGATCTGGTTGTTGGCGATTGTGGGGTGGTCGAAACCATAGGCAATTGTGGGGGTATTTTCTCCAATAAGGTATCCGACGGTGGCCATCATTGCAACACGACCATGCATGATTTCTGCCTCACGGAATCGCTTGACACCAATAAGGTCGCGATCCTTACAGAGTCCCATGGGATCGAAGTATCCCAACGGAGCGATAGCCCCTGGAAGTCCGAAGCAGTCCTTATCAGCATCGGGGGTCCATCCGTTGAGAGTGGGTCCAAGAGGAGGAGGGGTGGGGGGCTCTTCGACAGGCTCAGTGGCGATTTCAGACACTTCGGCGGCCTTCAACATGGTGCTGGCTCCGTTGGTAGAAACAGGGGCGAAGGCAGTGGCGGAAGGGGCGGCGACTGCGGCCAAGATAATAGAAGCAGAGAATTTCATTTTGGGAGACTTTGTTTTTTGTTTAGCTTGAACAGTTGTTAAGTTTTGTCTTTCTTGATTTTATGTCATGATGGGATGGCTCGAAAATTTCGGTTCCTAGCAACATTCAAATACCATCCGATTGCATCTCGTCTGTTCCGAGTAAATTATTGAGTTGTCGATTGCGTGGTTTGGTCGAGAGGTGTGAATGAGTCAACCTCATCGATGGGTGGTGCAGATAACAGAGTTTGATATAGACGAAGACAGTAAGGTATCTTTCCGCTTTACGATGATGTATGAATTCTGAATGTGCTGTAAGTGAATCATCATCAAACATCATCATTATTTTTTGGTTTTCGCGCGTGTGTCATTCAGTGAGTCACAGGCTTTTGCCGTGTCCTTCATGCGCTTACCGTACGTGGAAACAGGTAAGCTTAGAATCATCGCTCTAGTACGTTTTCTTGTACGATTACTGTACCTGGTACTACCTTCGAATGGATTCGCATGGATTCTAGTACGTACCTCCTGCATTAGGTACTACGACTAACTCACATTCGTACGTGCGTTAGAAAAAGTGGGAAGGGTTATGAGCTACTTGTACTTCTAATTTACTACTTTACTACTAAGCATTGCGGATCCGTTGAAATTAACGTATGTTCCACTAGGGATTTGGAACGTTGAAATAACGCATGCCTAGGTAGTAGAATCAGTACTGAAACTGGTGGCTGCACACCAGCAGGCCAAGCAGCTAATACTACTAGAGAAGCAGCTACTCAGCAAGGACCAGTCTAAAGAAACCTACTATCAAGCCTTCATTCCAGAAACTATCTGGAGGGCGGAGACCTTCTGGAATGACCCTCCTCCTTGTGAAGTACTACTAGTACTAGTACTACTAGTACTAGTACTACTAGTGTCTGTACCAAGAAGGAGGAAATTTATTGATGGTGTGGTGGATGAGGAGTTTGGGATGAATATGAAGAAGAGGACTAGTACTAATGACAGGAAAGGATATGCCCTTGCTTGTTTCAGAGTTTGAAGACCTGGAGCCTACTACAAAAGAGATATGAAACTTACCATCTTGCTTGCTGTGGAGCCAGGGGATCTGCATTGCCTCCCCTCCTCCTTGTGAAGTACTAGTAGTAGTAGTGTCTGTACCAAGGAGGAAATTTATTGATGGTGTGGTGGATGAGGAGTTTGGGATGGATATGAAGACAAGGACTAGTACCAATGACAGGAAAGGATATGCCCTTGCTTGTTTCAGAGTTTGAAGACCTGGAGCCTACTACAAAGAAAGAGACATGAAACTTACCATCTTGCTTGCTGTGGAGCCAGGGGATCTGCATTTGCCTCCCCTCCTCCTTGTGAAGTACTAGTAGTAGTGTCTGTACCAAGGAGGAAATTTATTGATGTGGATGAGGAGTTTGGGATGGATATGAAGACAAGGGCTAGTACTAATGACAGGAAAGGATATGCCCTTGCTTGTTTCAGAGTTTGAAAACCTGGAGCCTACTACAAAAGAGACATGAAACTTACCATCTTGCTTGCTGTGGAGCCAGGGGATCTGCATTTGCCTCCACGCACTAGAGCAGGAACACATATTATTCAAAATTCAATGAGGCAGATCAATGTGATTCAGCAAAAGGGAACTACCTCTTGGATCTTTGCTAGTAGCTTTATTCTTCATAGTATTTGCAAGGATATTGAGGCAAATCCAGTGCCTGGTGATAGTGATACTGATAAGGAGAGAATCTTCCTCTGGGACAATCTACCAGGTTCTTCTCAACAACTTTTGAAGATAGCCTTTAGACCAGATCATAAACCAACCAAATTCCAAGCTGCTCTTCTTTGTCCTCTTTACCAGCCAAAGTATGGGCCTATTGAATTCAGCACCTTTATCTAGAGAGGTGGGGCTGATTGGGGACTTAGCAAGCTTGAAGAATAGTTGTGTAGAGAGACTGGTAGGTCTATTAAAGGTTCCGATGCTGCCTTTACTCACTGCAGATATTCTGTGGATTGAATCTACTATTATTACTAGTATCAACATCAGCTTCTTGATGATCTCAAGCAAATGAACAGTGTTCAGGGAGCAGTTGCAATGGACTACTACTAGAGCAACCCCCTGGAGACTGGTTTGCTGACAAGTTGACTCATCCTGAGCCTATGAAAATTGAATCCCACTGTGGGAGCTTCTTGAGTAGCTTGCTTTGCACCTTCTTCTTTGGTAGATACTCAATCAACTCAGATGAATTTACTGGATTATTTGATATTTACTACCTCCGTTCCATAATACTGGTACACTTTGCCCTACTCTATTTTTTCCATAATACTGGTACACTATGCATGACCCTGTACAATTACTACTACAAGTACAGTTTTTATGATTCACATTAAACAGAACTATTACTATTAGTAGTAGTAGTACCAATACCATTACTACCAGCATCAGCAATAGTAGTATTGGTATTACTATTGTTGAAGTCTGCCAGTACTGAACGTGCAAAGGCAATCTTTTCTTGGTTGCAAATGATCAAAACTGGAAGCTCCCCTTGATGAGAAAGCTTTTCGTCATTGCCAATGTGTCAAATCTTATAAGTGTTGTCACCACCAACACCAAGTGACTCCTCCATTGCACACTGTAGTGACAAAAATACATTGTTTAGAGTCTCACGTTTGGATTCTTCAAATGCAGCAATCACATTGGCAATTAATGTGTCCATGTTGGAAGACCACTTCTTGTGCTGAATACTCTGGATAGAATTTAAGAATCCCAAATCAAGAACATTAAAGTCAGGACTGTTAGGTGGTTGGGGCTTCACAACAATGTTCCAGTTCCTCTCACGAGCAGCAGCTGTCACAGCTGCTCTGGTGTTCAGTGTATGAGGCCTAGCATTGTCTTCCTGGATGATGCAACTTGGAAGAACACCGTTGTCTCTGGGGAACTTCTCGTAAATGGCTGGCAGAACTTTTTCAATCATGAGCTTCCTGTACACTTCTTCATTGACGTTCTTAATAGGGCGGGGTTCAATCGTACCTCTGGGTTGATTCACAGAAGATCTCTGCGCTGGTCTGTACTCCACAATAGGCCAGATACCAAGCTTACCATCAAATCAAGCATTCCTACCATGATCAAATCTGGGCCTCGCTGTTGCACATAGAAACATGACCTTCTTGATATGCTGCTTTGACAGTGTCTTGCCAACTGGTTCAAACTCTTCATCAAGTAGATATGTGTTGCTTGTTACTTCCTTCATGAAGAACCATTTCTCATCAACATGTACCTTGTCATACATTGGATCAAAGACACCATTGTGATCAATATGAGACAGAGCAAATCTAATCCTTTCCATTTTGTTTGCTTCTTTTAGGAAAGGCTTCAAAGTGCAGCTGTATCTCTTGATGGTTCCGGGTCTGACAAGGCGGTGCAGGCTTGTAACTGGAATATTGATTGCCGCTGATAAGGTCCTTAGATCTCCTCTTTGCTTGTACAGAACACTTCTGATTGATTCAAGAAGAACTGCAAAGTCCCTTGGCTTCCTACCACACTTGGACTTGTTGCTTGACACATCACCGGCTGGGCATGTATCATCATCCTGAGTTTCCTTGTATTGTTTCCAAATTTTTGCACAAGTCCTAGGGGAAACTTTGAATGCTACAGCAGCATTCTTGTAGGCACCTTTAGCAAGTTTACCATTCTGTTGCTGATGCGGAAGCAGTCTGTGTAGAATAGCTTGTCTTTGATTGTTAGTTAACTCACAACTTTTTGGAGGAGGAGTAACAGCCGCAGGAGGAGGGAGCAGCTCAGTTGGTTCAAGGAGATCCATTGCGAGATCTATTGCATCTATTCCCGTAGCCATCTTGGTGTGCGTTTGCTTTAGAAAAGAGCAGCATTCAATAAAGTGAGTGGATGAAAGAATGAAAAAAAAGCAGCACAACAGGCAACAAAGAGACGATCCATTAGCAGGTTGATTGGCAAGTCGGTCCTTTGCTTCCCCCCTCTGGAAGCAAGGGAGACGCGAGGAAACTGGTGCAACGGAGACGTGAGGCAAGTCAGTCGTTTGCTTCCCCCCTCTTAGTAGAGGCAACAGAGGTGCGAATCCCTCTTAGTAGTGGAAGCAACTGAGATGCGAGCCTGGCGAGTCGATGGATCCCCTCTTACTAGTGGAAGCAACGGAGACGCGTCTCCCCCCCAACGGAGACGCGGACCGGTCGATGGATCAACGTGCACAACGTAGGCGCGTTGGAGGGCGTTGGTGTGATCCCCTCTCAATGGAAGCAACAGAGGCGGGAGGCGCCGGCGAGTCGATGGATCCGCTCTCAGTGGAAGCAACGGAGGCGGGAGGCGCCGGCGAGTCAACGCGATTGATTCCAGACGCGATTCGGTCTTCCCCCCTCTTAGTGGAGGTTCTCAGTGGAGGCGCTCAGTGTAGGCGCGTTGTGTAGTGGAGGCGCGTTGGCTCAACGTCGATGAGTCACTTGAGGTGCAAAGAAGAAAGAAGCCGGTCTTAGTCAGTTGAGTGGGAAAGAAGAGAATGAGAAGAGCGTGGAAAAGAGGAAATCGGGAAGTGTAGTGAAATCAAAAGTGAAAAATAACACGTGAAAATGACATGGGGAGCATTTTTGCACCATGTGCACAGCACTTTTTTTTCTCTTCGCATTGGTTCTCCAGCTCAAAATTGAAAAAAAAGAAAACAACACATGCTACAAATAAGTGCCCGAGCAATATTGGGTTCTCTTTTGACCAACTAACAAGACTGCACAAGAACATTCTCAATGAATACGATAAGTGCATCATGTAAAAGCTCTCAGTCTGGGATTTTTGAATAAACTGGTCCCATCTGTAACAGACCAGTAGTAGAACCCAACTGACGGTAAAATCACACCATTTATACGCCAAAAAGGGCCCCCTTTCAGTATTTATTGCAAGTATGTCAGACACATTAAACATATTTTATCTTCATGACTGTATAACAATCAAATAGATCTGTTTAGTGCGAAAAGAAGCAGTCAAATAGCCCTGCACAAGATTACGTGTACTCTTGGTATTAGGTGTTAAGTGTGTATGAAAATTGAAATTATAAGATTAGAATTATTCGAAGATTACCAAGCGCGT